CAAGTTAGATGACAAAGCAACCCAATGTGTATTTCTAGGTTATGGAGATGATGAATTTTGGTACAGGTTGTGGGATCCTAAGGCCAAGAAGTTGCATAGAAGCCGAGATGTGATCTTTTGTGAAAAGCAAACACTTTCCGATTTTGATAAGAAGGAACCGCCAAAGAGGCTTGTAGATGAGTTACCAGAAGCACAAGCCCTGTTACCCATACATAATGATGATGAGTAACAAGTTCAAGATGAAGATGACCAAATTTGGGGTGGTGAGACTCCTCAAAATGACGATGTACATAATGATGTTGAGCAGGGGGAGCAGCTTCCTCAAGAAAAACCACTTATGGTGAGAAGGTCACAAAAGAGACGAAAAGCTTCAACAAAGTATCCATCATCAGAGTATGTCATACTCACTAAAAGTGGTGAACTAGAAAATTTTAAAGAAGCTATGATATATGAGCAAAATGAACAATGAAAGAAAGCCATGCAAGAAGACATTGAATCATTGCATAAGAACAAATCCTATGAGCTTTTTGAGCTACCAAAAGGACAAAAAGCTTTGAAGAACAAGTGGGGGTATTTAGGTTGAAAAATGAGGATGACAAGAAGAAAATGAGGTACAAGGTAAGGTTGGTTCTCAAGGGATTCGGGCAGAAAAAATGTGTTGATTTTGATGAAAACTTTTCTCCCGCTGTAAAGATGACTTCTATTCACACTATCCTAGGTCTAGCTGTTAGTCAAGACTTAGAGATTGAGCAGTTAGATATCAATACAGCTTTCTTGCATGGATATCTAAAGGAAGAAATATATATAGAACAGCCAGAAGGTTTCCTAGTGAAGGGCAATGAGCACATGGTATATAAGTTGAAGAAGAGCTTGTATGGATTGAAAAAAACTTCACGACAATGGTATAAACAGTTCAACTCTTTTATGATGAGTTATGGTTTTACTAGAACCACTGCAGACTAATATGTTTACCTTATAAAGTATTTTGAGTCTTCATTTATTATTCTCATGCTATATGTTGATGATATGCTTATCGTTGGTCAAGATGCTTATTTGATTGACATGTTGAAGAAATAATAGAACATGGTATTTGACATGAAAGACCTAGGGGCTGTAAAACAAATTTTGAGCATGACAATCAAGTGTGATACGAAGAACAAAAAGTTTTGGCTATCACAAGAAAAGTACATTGAGAAGGTACTTGAAAGATTCAACATGAAGAATGCCAAGCCAGTTAGTACACCAATAGCTAGACACTTCAAGTTGAGTACCAAGTTATCTTCAACCAGTAGTGAAGAGAAGAAGAAAATGAAGAAGATCCCCGACGCATCAGCCGTAAGGAGTTTGATGTACGCTATAGTGTGCACAAGGCCTGACACAACACATGCCACTGGTGTAGTTAGCAGATACTTGGCAAATCCAGGCAAACATCATTGGGAAGCTATAAATTTGATTCTACGGTATCTAAGAGGCACATTTAAAGTTTGTTTATGTTTTGGAAACTCATCACCCTTGGTGGAAGCCTATACGGATGCGGATATGGCAGGAGATATTTGATAGAAGAAAGTCTACTTCAGGTTACTTGTTTACTTTTGCAAGAGGAGCCATTTCTTTGCAATCAAAGTTGCAAAAATGATTTGCACTATCGACTATAGAGGCAAAGTATATTGTTGCCACAAAAGCCTCTAAGGAGATGCTATGGTTGAAGCGTTTTCTTATGGAGTTGAGTTTGAAGCAAAATGAGTATGTAGTTAGATGTGACAGTCAAAGCGCCATTGATTTGAGCAAGAATGCTACATTTCACTCTAAGACCAAGTACATTGAGGTTCGGTACCATTGGATTCGAGATATCTTAGAAAATGGGTTGATGAAAATTTGTAAAATTCATATCGATCGGAATCCGTCATACATGATGACGAAGACAGTCCCAAAGGAGAAGCATGAGCTATGCAGAACTTTGGAAGCCATGGGTGCCATGTGAGCATCCAGTATGGCGGAGCCCTCCTCATAGGTCTGGAGGGGGAGTTTGTTGGGGTGATTACCTTGTGGGGCCCAACCCTATAATAAGTGAAAGAAAAAAAAAAACCCAATAAAATAAAAAAGGGTTAGAGAGAGAGAGAGAGAGCATGGAGGGTGTGTTAAAAGACAAAACAAAGAGGTCTTTTTTTAGAGACACCATTTGCAAGCAAAGATATGGTTCTTTGAAGGCTCTTAGAGAGAAGAAAGTACATGTTTGTCGCAATGTTTCCATCACTATTCTCAAGCCATGTAGAGGCCATTTTTGCTATCTCTCATGTTCAACACTCAGCTGGAAAACCGGAATAGCTGGTGTGCTCTTCGGTTGTTTCTCTAAGCCACTGGAAGACCATTTTTGGGGTTTTTTTGGGGTGGGAAAGAGATGATATTGTTAGTGCATGTGATGTAACTTTGTATCTTCTCCAAGATATTGTTGTTCTCTCATTTGATTGTAAGTGTAAGCCTCAAGTTTTAAGCAAAAACTTGAGAAGAAACTTTATTGTAACCCTCATTTGATTTTAGTGGATTCTTCTTTTGGATTTACCCCATGGTTTTTCCCTTCATATTGAAGGGTTTTCTACGTTAAACCTTATATTATAATTGTGCTTGGTAGAACTTTAATTTTTATAATTTATGATTTCTATTTTCTTGGCACCTAGCAAATTGCCCTTTTTTTTTTGGTATTTGTACAAACATACATTGTGGGATGTCTTTACCTTTGATTCACTCATAAAAGGGAAAAACATTGCTTCCCAACATAGAAAACGTTTTGAGGATAAGATGTCTAAAAAGTTGAATTTGGGGTATTTATGATTTTTCTAATTTTTTTATGACACTATATAATACTCATCCCTTTCTCTCTATTCATTTTTCTCTCTCTAAAAACTTTTCTCTAAAAACACAAGACTTTGGTGTTTACAGTGCCACAATGGGTTTCTAGTTCGGTGCATAGAACCTTGAAGTATTAAAAATTAGACTTTTTTTTTTTTTCTATCTCTGATGCGCGACAACTACAATATCAAAGGGGGAAACATATTGCAGTCGCTCCTGCGTGCCAAAAAAAAAGGTCTTTCGCCTATTTCGTTCATTTTTGCCTCCTTTTTCACCTACTTGATTTACCAACATTGCTCACTAAAATGAAAGAAGAGAAAACTTCTCATTTTCTCAACTACTGACATTTTCCCGGGTCTAGGAACAGGGAAAGGCTGTAAACAAATGGAGAATTATTGGGGCTCCTCACTTTCCCAGTTTCCTCCCTTTTTCTGTGAAGGCATTGGTATTGCGTCCACATGTTGCGGTCGCGCTCACACCTTTTAATGATTTAGATTGAACCAAGGACCAAAAATGGCTATTATTTTTATTTTTAATTTTCTATTTAGAAACGATACTAATTTGAAATTTGGGTTTTGGCTTTAATTTTATCAGTAGAATTAAATTAAAATAATAACAATAGTTAAATAAAAAATATTAATTAAAATAAATTTAGAATTATTTTGATATTTTAAAATATTTTTTTTTTAAATTTTTTTATTTAATTCTCTTGAACAAGCCTCGTTATTTTCGATTA